GTGTGTGTGTGTGTGTGTGTGTGGGGTGGGGGTACTCTGGGGTGGTGGAGGTTTACAGCATGAATCAGCTGCTCTGTAGGGGGTGCTCGCTGTGTTTGATGCCAAAGGATCAAGGAAGAATATTAACAACAAGGCTCCTAACCACATCTGCCTGAGGAAATATCACAGACTCCTTCAGCCACAGATCTGCTGTGATCATCTCTTTACTCTCATTTATGAGAAACTGTGACATTTGCTTTTGCAGGTAGGCAAAATGAAAAAGGTTATTTTCAGCTCTCGGTTCCTGTGGGAGGCAGAGGGAGGGACTGTCTCCATAAATCATCCCAGAATAAAGGCATTTTCTGTTGGAGATGACCCAGAAAAGTGAATTTGTTTCCCCTTCATGCMCTCCTTTCTCAATAACCCCAGCTATATAGGGTAGGCTCTTGTGGCACATATTGTGGGACCTTCCAGCTGCTTTTCCAACTTGGAAATCTAAACTTCCAAGCAGAAATAGCAGACGGTTGATTTTAACCTACAGATCCCTACCCCCAGTAGCCTCCCTGTAACCATCAATTTGCACTGTGTGACTCTGGCATGACCTCTGCAGTAAAAACTCACCCATTATCATGAATTCGAGCATTTACACTGCATCCGCAGGGTGGTGGCGTGTGCACAGCAGTCTGCCAAAATTAGATTCAATTTTGTCAGACCACAGAGCAAGCAGTCAAWCTATAAAGATCCCATTAACAGGAAAAGGAAATAATACATCAATATTTTCAAAATAATTCACGAAAGGCAGACTACACTTTGTCAAAGTCTTAGTTATTTTAATAAGTATATGAGCATAAAAATGCTGTCAAAATTTATCATTCAGTTTGGGAAGCAGATGGCAGCATGAAGCATATGCATCCACACAATGTGTGGATTTTATTTTGAAATATGGCTGTAAAAAAAGACAACATTGATTCAGTTTCAACTGTTGCTTCGAGGCCATCTTCCACAGAATTAATTAATTTAGTCTGACTTATCACTGGCTTTATTGCATGGTCTCGCATTTCCTGCGCATGCAGAGCACCTCTGTACTTTGCAGCAGAGTGGAGCAGACATCGTATGGAAGCGAATGACGGCAAACTGCAGACTGTCTGGAGCCGCATGCAGTGTAAATTTAGGGTTACCCACCCATGCTGCCTCAAGTGTTACATAAATAAACCATGTTAAAATGGACAAATCTTGTGCCAGCCGGAAATGAATTTGAATTGTTCAGATTGAATCTGCATGTGCGTAATTTGAAATTGAATGCAATGGTTTGAAAATGAATTTTACTCAATTAAAACTGAATTTAATGGTTTGAAACTGAATTTAAAGTTTTTTATCTGAATTAATTTGCTTTGAAATTGTATTTTGGTTCATTAAAAATTCAGTTTGACTACTTTCACTTTCAGTTCCAAAATTCAGATTTTTGTGTCACATCCTGGTCCTTGAGAAAGCCAGCCAGAGTAATCAAACACAGATCCACAGATTTACGTTTCACTTCGGTGAAGCTTCCCTTTTGTAATGTAACAGATTTGATGCAATCCACCGTAAAAGTGAGAAAAACAGACAGTTATTATATTATATTATATTATATTATATTATATT